CTCCCCACAACAGACACCCTGTGTGAAGTAGGTGGGGCTGAGAGAGCTCTGACAGAAACTGCTCTTTTTCAAGAACAGCTCTTGTCAGAGCTACGGCTTGCCCAAGGTCACATCAGCAGGTGCGAGTGGAGGAGTGGGGAATCAAACCCGGTTCTCCCAGATTAGAGTCCGCGCACTTAACCACTACACCAAACTGCCCCCCAAAGGGGGTGTGGCCAAGAGATGCCACACCTTAGCGACGGGCCCAGCCAGCTGCCTCCCCCTGTTCACGGCTGAGGCCAAATCCCCCCGCGCGACATACCTGAATCTCTACAAGGTAGATGGGCTCCATTAGTCGGGGCTGGGCAGTGAGGGCCGAGGCATACAGGACCCTCCTTGCCGTGGGGATGATCTGCCCCCCACCACGATGAATGGCGTCGGCGTGGAGGGTAACATCATGGATGTCGAATCGAACACCCCGCATGTTTTCCTCACAAAGAACACCCTGCAAGACAAAGACAGCTCGAGATGACCCAACAGCACATGATTGTCTAGGCTGGTACTCCGGTTGAAACATAAAACAGCTGTATGTAGCGATAGTAGTGGGAAGACCTTACTCTGTTACGGTGTTGCAAAGCTTACAGAAAACTAAAGACGGGTATTCACAGCGACCAAAGTGATGGCTACGAACGTAGAAGTGTACTTATTTTTATTAGTTAAAACATTTATTCGTTGCTTTTCTGCCTTGAGTTCCTCAAGGCAGCTTTCAGTTGTATATAAAGCAATGATTAAAAACACATGCAATTGTCGATAAATAAAAGCTAAATTATCCAACTGCAGTCCTAAGTAACACCATCTTCAGTTGCCTCCTGTAGACTGAAAGGAAGGGGGCCAGGCACAACCCCCTGATAATGTGGGGCTGCCACTGAACAGCCCTCTCTTGCATACCCCCCAGATTGGGCGTCTTTGATTGACGGGGCTGTCATGAGGGCCTCCCCCGGTGAGCTGAATTCCTGGGCAGGAATGTATGGCAGAAGACGGTTCTTCAGATACCCCAGTCCCAAGCCAAAGTGTGATTAACAGATGGAATTCACTGCCACAGGAGGGGGTGGCTACAAGCACGGACGGCTTCAAGAGGGAATTAGATAGGCATATGAAGCAGAGGTCCATCAGTGGCTATTAGCCACAAGGTATAGATAGGGGCTCTCAGGTTTGGGGGCAACGGATGCTCTGTCTTCTTGGTGCTTGGGAGTCAACAGTGGGAGGGCTTCTAGTGTCCTGGCCCCACTGGTGGACCTCCTGATGGCCCCTGGTATTTTTGGCCACTGTGTGACACAGAGTGTTGGACTGGATGGGCCCCTGGCCTGATCCAACTG